GGCATTTACTTATATTTCAAAATAAATTTAGGTTATAGATTTATTTACATAATATATTTTAACATTTTTATTTAAATTATTGCAATAATTTACTTTATTGCAAGAAATTGTATTAAGGTAGAAGATTCAATTTCTTATTATATATTTTTTTGTGTAATTACAAGAAATATTTTTTGGATTATTAGAATTTTTAATGACTTATTGATAAAAGATTTATTTCATTTATATTATAAGTAATTTTATTTTTTATTTCTATTTATACAAACTACATAGCTATAGGTTTTCACAATTTTGCTAGTTCTAAATATGGTATTAACATTTTTTTTTTACTCAAGAAAATCCATTTAAAAATGTCAACAGTTCTTTATATTAAGAATATTGAACAGTAGAACTATCTTTAGCATATAAATTTAATACTTCATATATTTAATATGTCATAATTATAAATCATTCTTATAGCTATTTATATTTAATCATCTTGAAATTGAATTTGTATATATTAAAGAATGTTCTTAGAAAATAAAATTTTTTCATTTGAATAACTAATAGTATAGTAACTAGTTATAGAAATAAAATTGTATACAGTTAAAGTGTATTGTAAAGCAGATTTGCCATAATACAATATTATATTAATAATATAAAAATATTAACTTTGATCAATCCAAGCCAATAATGGCTATTAGGTAGATGCAATTTCCTAATAAAATATTATAGCGAATTTATTTCGATAGCTTATTTTGTACTTAACTTAGTAGCAATTTAACTAGTTACTAGTTACTTATAATAATTGTAGTTGTAATTACTATAAATAAAAATAAAATGATGTTAAATTTTTTTCTAAACAATAAGCAAACTTAACAACTACTTAAAAAAAAAAGGATTTATTTAATTAATAAAGGATTTGTTTAATTTCAGTAGAAAAATAGAATTTGAAATATTTTAAACGAATTATCTTATTAGCAACTTTGTTGTTAAGTCAATATACTAAATAATGGCACTTATTTAATTAAGATCAACATCATTCAAGAATTTAGTTGGTTAATTTAATTCTTAAATCTGTATCTTAATTGATTAAAAATTTTTACCTTTAAAAAGAAAACTATATTTTGAAAAATTATAACAATAAAATCCAAAATTATTGAAATAATTTATTTTTAGGTACCTTGGAAAATTTTCAAAATTATGTTAAAAATACTTCATTTATCAATTAATGATAATAAAAAGCATAATATAAAAATTCATAATAATAATATTTTTACTAGTTTTTTGGTTGCTTTGCAAAAAAATTTGTATCTTTTATTGTACGCCAATGATATCAGCGACTATGAAAAATTGCCACTAATGTCTGTGATTAAATTATATAGCATTTCCACTACTGACTGCCTGTGGTTTTATCTTTTTGTTGTTGTATCTTTACAAATGGCATTACAGAGCTTGGCAATTTTCATTTCCTGTAGCAATTGAAATTAGCTTTGATTATGTTTTTCGGTTTGACTAAAGTTAAAAATTAAATTTCAAAAAAAAAGTGAATAAAAAGTTTCAAGTGCGCAAATTATTGGTAATTTTCATTAAAATTGGATAAAAAATACTACATATAATACAATTATATAATAAAACTATATAATATAAGTTTATAAATATACACTTATGTACATTTTAATGATATGGCAGGCATCATTATATTCGGAACCACCTTCAACAATGACACAAAAACTCAAATCACTGTTATTTGACTTTTTTTTTTATTGTAGAGAGTGATGATGAGGTGGTTTGAAGTAGAGGAGGTATTTTAGGCCAATTAAAATGTCAAATAATATACGATTATAATTACGAGCTCAGCTTGAATGAAAAAAAAAAATTGGTCTATTGTGAGTATAAATTAGCGCTTTAAAGTTAAGTGCACAATTTTGAAAATGACAGCAATTAATGCCCTTCAAAAAAATTTTTTTTTTAAATTACTTAGGAAAATTAAGTTAATTATTAGCTCTGAGCAAATTAGGTTTTTTGTTTTGATTTTTTTAAACCTTTTTTTACAATTTTTTTAAGATATAATATAAATACGTTGTTTTTCGTTTTAAATTTGTTACAAATCACAACAATAATCAACTACTGTTTTGTTAGATAATGAAGTAATTAAGTTTTTAAATTAAAAAATTTTAAACCTTTAAGTTATAATTTGTTTATATAGAAAAAATTAATATTTAAAAAACTACAATCTCAAGTGTGGTACAGGTAGGTAAAATTTTCCTAAAAAAAAAAATTAAACGAGAACCAAGCGCTACTTTTTAGAATTATGTAGACTTAACGAAACGATAAGACATGGAACTACTACCATTCTATCATTACAAAAAATATTTTTAGAATCGTTTATTTTTTTTTTTTTATATTTTCTACATATATACACCTATCTATATCTGTATATCTATTTATATCTATACATCTATCTATATCTGCATATCTATCTATATCTATACATCTGTGTATATCAATATTTTGTGTAACAATCTATCAAACTTTTTAGTATCAAAATTAGTATGTTATTTTATATTAGATATTAGAATGACTATTGTCATTTTTTCCAACTCGTACCACTGTGAAAAGACATCAAGATTTTAAATATTTTGTACATTATATAAAGTAACAATATAATTTACAACATTTGAAGATGTGATCGATGCAGAACGAATGCCAATTTAAAAAAGTTTTCATTATTTTTACACTGTCGAAGCTATCTAAGTTATAGCTGACAAAATAATGAATCCACTGATCTTGGAAATGTTATACACCTTAAGATGTTAGTCCTTTATACTATAAGTAGTAGATACAAAAGAACATGAATACCAGAATCATAGATCACATGATAGTCATATTACTTTAAGAGATGACATTCACAGAAGATTTACAATAAAAGAAGCCTTCCCATAGGTTTTTAACATGAAAACTTAATTATAAATTAATAGGTAAGAACTAAAAATTATGACTTTCACTTAAAAGACAATGAAAGTAATAAATATTTTTGAAATATCTACTATGATGTGTGTGTATATTTTCATTGTCCAATTAGGAATAAAGTCATCTAGATACGAGATGAGCTGAGTATAATTTATGACTAAAGCACAAAGGATTATGTTTCGACTCGTTGGTATAATGAAAAAAATTTATTGAAGTAAATAAAATATGATGAAAAAAACTTAAGTTCTGATTTACAAAATACTACAAGATAAGATATATCGTTTATCTTAATATTATCAGAAACTAGATATGAATGAATGACGCGCAATGACGCACAAAATTTTGAATTTAGTTTATATCTTTCATATTTTAAAGAAAGTATAGATTCAGTTTTTTAAATTAATTAATTTTAAGTTAAATTTTAATTTTATGCCCAGATATTTTTAATTTTTTAAAACATGTGAAAAAAATGTGTGTTTCATATTATCTGCACATTTATAATATATTATTGTTAGACTTTTGAGACTATAATCTTAACTTCAATTTAAAGAGATAACGTGTTATTAAAAAAAAGCAATTAAAACATACTGAAAAATAGAAATACGAAATAATTAAGTAAAATATGATATAAAGAAGACGTATATATATATTTACATATTAAAAAACTAGCATTTGAATATCACTAAAATGTGTATGTAATGAGAATTTAAAACAGTGATATCACAAATAGAATAAGGTCAATCAAACTTACTTATTTCATTAGTAACATGACCCATTTCAAAATTTAGAAACACACCTATTTACCACTGCAAATATGTACTTTGCTGACTATTCCCACAGTGAAACTTTAACGTTTTTACGAAACTAACTCCAACACATTTTCCCCTAAGCGAGTCATAACTTTATTTATTCTTCCATTAAAGCAAAAAAAAAAATTAATAAATAAATAAAAAAGAACATTAAATCATCATCAATTAGTCATCAATATTTATTAATTTCTACGGATTTGTTTGTTTCACTATACATTTCTATATATGTAAACAAGTAAATATGAACCAAAAATGTGTAGGCCATTATTAAAGCAACACAAAGGTTAATTATGCATAAAGATAAAGTATCTTACCATTTATAAACACAATACCAATGCCTACGTTTCCACGTTTCCCTTCAAAGAATCTTGTAATATTTCTGTAATTATTAAAAGTCAAATAAACAAACAAAATTTTGTTTAAAATACATTACAGAGAACACAGAATATGGGAAAATTTCTGAAAGATTGAAAAACTGAAAGACCACAACAGATTGACAAGCGTCTGACAGTTATTGACATCACGGACTGATTGGTTAAGCCAAATATCGTATAATTCGGTTGCAATAGAGCGAGAAGCAAATTACTCGCTGCATTTAACATAACTCGTTAACTCAAAACGAATTAAAGAGCGAACACACCCAATGGAGCTATTTAGAAAGGGAGTTGTATGGCTAACAGACAGTTATGGCAACTTTCCTGACTTTCTAGACTTTCTCAAGAAAAACCGTAAATCATCGAGCAAAAGTGCAAGTAAAGATTTTCACATATATTGTACTCGGGTGTTGCGGGCTAGTAGTGTTGCTGAGCTTGTAAATAATCGTACTCGTTCTCGTAGTCATAGTCGTACTCGTACTCGAACTCGTAAATGACAACAAGAAAGAATAATTGATTTTGTTTATAGTTTGTGTTTATAGAAATGGGAAAATTATTTAGGTTGGTTAAATATTTTGATATTTACGTATAGAGCTATTAAAAATAGTTTAGCTGGAGTTGGTTTTGATGTTATTTGAAAATAATTTCAAAATTGTTTTTAAATTTACATTAGAAGTAACGAAGTGGAACTGAGTGTTGAAGTTTTAGAAAATTCTTCAAAATTTTGAGTTTAATTTAAAGACTTTTTAATTGCTGATTTTATACCGATATAATTGTATATATGTTAAAAGAAGCGTAAGCAATGGATCACTAATATTAATAATTCTACTTTTCTATTCTTTTTTAAACATGTTTTGTAACTTACCTCTTAAATCACTTTGTTCATATACAAACTGCTAATATTTTTTTAGTAATCCAATTATTTCTTTATAGAGTAAACTGAATTCAGATTTCGATATCCGTCCGATTGATTTTTACCGATATGTTAAAGAAAAATTAAGATTGATGTTTAAGATCTGCAATGGTAAAAATAAATGTTTAAGAATCAGGAACTATATGTTAATTACAAAAAAACGTGTTAAAAATAATTCAACAAACATTTACAATTTTTAACACTTGTATATATTATATGTTTATAAATCTTATAATGTATTTTACATGTGTAATAATATTGAACGATAATTTATCCTACATAAATATCTTAGATATCATAGATTGAGATAATAAAAACCAAACTATTTATATATAATTTATTATATCTTATATTATTATAAGGTAAGAAAAATGTTTATACACTTTTGCGATATAAATTGATTTGCGACATGAAATTAAGTTTTAAATTAAAAATCGGGATGGTGCCATCTGGAAATAATGCACTAGGAGAGTCAAAAACGAATCAACAGTTTCTGCTTGACTGTTAAAAAATGTTATGAAACATAGTATTTATTATATTATATATATATATAATGAAAATGAAAATGGTACTAAATAAAAAAGTTATTATAATTCAATTAGAATTTAAACAATATTAATAACTAATATATTAATGTAATATAAATAAAAAAAATGATTGTAGAAAGTTATAAATTCAAAAAACAAAAATTAAAATAATATTTAATTCATATTTAATTTGAATATAAATAAATGATTAAATTTTAAGAAAAATTGAAAACCTTTGTTTTAAAAAATATAACTAAGATATTGTTATAGTGCCAATTTTAAAACAATAATAACATTAATTAAATAAAACACTTCATAAACAAGATAGAAATTTTTAATTTAAAATTTATAAAATTTTAATTTAAAAATAAAATTTAAAAATTAATTATAATTAAAATATATCGAAACCAATAAAAATTCTTTGAATACAGTGTTATATATAAATTATGTATTATTATTTTTTACTAATTATTAAAAACTAACATTTAGATTTAGTAATAATAATTAAAATAGTTAAAATAAATTAATATTTAGAAACATTTTTTCAAAAAAATAATATACTCAAAATTATGTATAAATTTGTATTTAAAATTTATATTTTATGTGTATTGCATATATTAGAAATATTAGAAAATTATTTAAGAATAATTTTTAGAATTATATTTCAATATTTCAATTTTTATAATTATTGTTACTATTTTGTTTTCTGATTTGACAACACCGTCTCACTGACATATAGCAAAAAAAGTGTTTCGTTTATGGAATAAATTTATTGTTCACTCAATACAAAAACGATGATTCTGTAGTGTTATAGGCAAAGTTATAAAACCTCAAATATATTGTATAACAATAAAGACCATGTCATATATTTTTATAAAATTTTAAAACTATATTATACTATACCTTCGTTTGTTTCTAAAAGTTTTGCTAATTCTAATAAATTCAACTAATACAAAAATACATAAATTAATTATAATAATAATAGACCAAATAAGCAGTTACAATCTACAGAAATAGAAATATTTTTATCAAGTCTATTAATTCTAGTAACTATTGTGTGTAGCCTCGAAACACAGTTTAAGATAGAAATTAGCTCCCAAAACGTATAAATAAAATATTTACTTAAAAACAATTCTTTAAAAAATTTAAATCTTTTCTTTGAAAATCATAATAAGTATCTAAACATATTCGTTAGATACAAGTTTATTAAATAAACTAAACGATATCAGCACATATCAAATATAAAATATAAATAATAGCATTAATAATAAAAATTCAAAATTTAAACTGATTAAATATATTAATTTCTGACTCGTTTTTATTAGTTTCGTTTTTTTTTGTTGGATTTTAAATAAAGACCATTAAAGATACATTCGATGAAAACGTAATGTGGTAAAGAACGTAAAGGCTACGCAGTCCATAAAAACTACAAAAATTATAAAATATTCTAAGACTATAAAATAATGTAAGATTTCCACGTTTGTATTGAAGATAGAAGAGAGACACGTATTGGGCCAGTAAAACTACTTGAAACTAAAATGGGTTGAATGTCGTAAGAAAACATTTACTTGATTTTCTGATATTCTTTCAAGAGAATTATCGAATGGAAAAAATTATAAAAGAAAATACTTCAAGTAGGCCTCGTAATTTCTAACAACAACAACAACAACAACACCAACAACAACTGTAACTACGTCATTATTTATAATAACAAACTAGAAACTATTTAAGTTTAGAAGAAAAAAAATATAATAATAAAGGAAAAAAGTGTTTTCTACTCACTGAGGAGAAAAAAGTCAAATGAATGAATAAAAAATTAAATTAGAAAGAAAAATATGAGAAGAATGAAATGAAAAATAGTCTATCATAAAATAAATAAAAGAAAATATCAGAAAATTAGTATTTAAGTCAACTAAAGAAAAAAAAAACGAAATTATTATAGAAACATGTGTTGGCAGTCAATGTTTTCCGTCGTTTTCATTACAAATGAAAATAAGACACAAAAATGTATCTATGAAATACAATAACAAAAAAAAAAATAGAAAAATAAAAACACACAGCAGCACAACAATTTAAATTCATTGCAAGAAACATAAACATTTTTCAAGACATTATTTTATTATTTTTCTTTTAATATATTTTTTTTATATTGTTGTAGTTTCAGTCATTCTACTTGCTGCTCAGTGTTGTTATTTGTTGTTCAGTGTTTGCTGTTTGCGCCGAGTTTGCTGGAAATGGCATGATTTTATCGCATGAAAAACATATTTCAGATATGAAATAGATAATTTTTTAGCATTAAAATTGTATGTGAAGGCAAAAAACGCATGTATTTAAGAAATTTACTTTAATTAGAGTCTGCGAAAGGGCACTGAACAGGGCCAATTTGGAGCCGCTGTAGAGATTAAGGCGCACATTGCGTGCCTAGGAATTGTTCCGAGAACTGTAAAGAAATTATTTTGTAAAGTGATTAAAATTCAAAGAACGAAATCATTATTTGGAAGATTAACATATTTGCTTTCTTGGGTATTGACCTGTTGGGGTTTAGACAATGTTTGCTTTATAGCTGATTTAACAATATGTTTATTGTTTATTTTTTATCAGATTTATGTTAGCAGTAAGTTAGGGCCATAATTGGGCAATATTTATTTACGTGAAAGTATTGCCGAAAAATATTGCATAAATAAAAATTTAAATTAAATTTTTTTTAATATATAATTATTAGTTTATAAGGCTGATTAATATAAATAGGAAACAAATTAGTTAAAAATCTTGCAGAATTAAGTAGTAAGTCCTTTACTCAAAATATAAAAAAGATAGGTAGTTAGTTTTCACTATAACAAATGTATTTGCTAGTAGATGGTCTAATAGAATTACTAATTATCTCTAACTAAAGACATCACGTTGGTTAATCTAAGTGATGATCACAAAAATGTTTTGGAGCTAGCTCTAAAGTCAATGCAAAAGAATATTTTAATAAGAGAGAATGTATATTTCAATATCACACCATTACACAAGCCAAGTACCAACAAACAATCACTAAGACAAAACATTTAGGTGACAGTGGCGATCAAATATCGCTCTTTCTTGGTATCTTAGAACCATATTGTGTCTAGATTGATCTACATGTTCACTTGGCAAACGAATATTTCATTGACAGATAATGTATGTTTCAATATAATTCCACGCCATCGTACTAACCACGTGGCAACTAAGAATCACTGAGAGGCAAAGTTTGGTACTTTATTTCAACTATATGCCTTTTACACAGAAGCAGTTTGAAGTCAGCACTAACAATAGGAGAGTATAGATGTGCTTCCTAGTCCCTCTTTATTGATCAAGTTAGGTTAGGTTATAACAGCGATCCCTAGGATCCGCTTAAATCTATTAGGACATAATGTTACTGTTAAGAAACCAAAAATTTGGAAACCACTTTGATTGCTAAAGCCCAAAACGCATGCGTCTTGTTTGTTGACTGAATAAGAGCCGCAATATGAAAAATCAAAATCAAATAAAAAAAGTAAAAAAAATACATAAATAATAAATAACATTATAAATCAATAAATAGGTAGATAATAAAAAATATTATAAATAGAAAAATAAATAGATAATTAAATAATAATTAAATAATTAAATTATATGTATACTTGTACCTATACATTTTGTTATGTAAAAAAATTCCCTATATTTTTTTATATATTATGTATGACATTTTTTTTATCATATATCGCTGGTTTTCGATATTGGTATGACCAAGAGAAGAACCGGAACTGATTACCTTAATACAGTTTTCATAACTATAATACCAAAAATAGATTTGAGTTATTTTCATAAGGTAATAAAATATTAATTTTTAATTAAAAATGCATTTAGTATAAGTTTAAAAAAAAATAACTAAAAAAAATCAACCTTAAGGCAGAGACATGAGTTCTACTTGTTTCAACATAATTAACATGTAATTAAGCGGCAAACACAAGTGTTCTTAAAAATATTGTATGAGCAATTTTTCTAGTGAAGTTTTGCGGCGGCTTAAGTCGTTGTCTTGCAAAATGTTGCCACTTAAGCAAAATTCTTTTGTTTGGCGAATTGTGAAAAGTAAACAAAACAAACGAAAAAAAAATAAAAACAAAAATAACATAAAAATTATTATAAAAAACAAAAACTAGTGACAACAACAACATAACGAAAAAAGAGGCAAGCACGACGAAAAATTTTGTTAAAAAAGGTGAATATTGTTAATAAGAAAAATAAAAAAAAGTGTTTACACTTTATTGAATGGAGCAGAACAAAAGTGTGATTAACTGACAGAGAGCAAGACAAGCAAAAAGGCGGGAAGCCCAACAACAACAAATTTATTTAAAGAAATAATGTAATGAATCAGAAGATAAAGCATTAATATATTTATATATAAAAAACAATATTTAAACAAAAAAACAAAACAGTACTGATATTAAATAAATATAAGCAAATAAACAGAGCAGAAAACAAAGAAAATGTGTATAAAAGCTTTAGCGACACATGTTACAGATAAGGCAGTGTCTCCCAAACGGTGTGCTTCTTACTCAGAGAATTTCAGAAA